AGTATGGTGTCAGTTGTTTACTGCAAAAAAAGGGTCATTAAGTACTAAAGTAGATTCTGTGGCAAAGTATCAATAAAATAAATACTAATATTTCGAGTAATTTCAGTGAAAAAAAAGAGTTAACTATACTATGCATTATTTTCAGTTTGTCACATAACTTATGCGTATAATGAAGCACGTGTTCTGTCAATTTTGCTGGTGAATGTTTGCCAGTACTAAATGAAATTAAGTAAATGTAGTGACTGTAAGTAAATTTAGTGTTAGTGATTGCTTGGCATATTTATTAGTTTACTTGTTCTTCATTGCTGCTTTTCATGACCAGCTATAAATGGGAAACATTGTATTACCATGTGTATTAAATAAAGAAAATGGTTACATTGTGGAAGCCATTTTAATAGTACTATACCAATACAAAGTATTTAAAAAAAAAATATGTACCAGGATTGAAACAATTTACAAAAATATTTTGACAATATCATAACAGACATATAAAAATGAACCTAACTGTAAAATATTTCTCTAAAATAACAAGCAATTTACTTAGTATATTTATTTCTAACTTTGTTTCTCAAGAGAGGCGAGTTTTTAAAATACCAAAGAAATTGTTTAAAAATTAAGTAACTTTCAAGATAAAAATTAATTCTCAAATAAAAATAAATATTATGGGTCTGTAATGTAGAAAATAAAAAGTTTAACAAAAAATAATCAGGTGCTTGAGTTTAAAATCATAAATTTGTTTCCCCTTTTATTTTTAAAATATTATCAAAGCCTACTAATGTTCATCATGGCTAGGCCAATTAGCAGCCTAACCAAATTCATGTAACCTTTTTTTTAAATACAAATAGTTATAATTGTGAGAAAAAATGATGATTTTCATATGGAATTCAGCTAAAAGTTCACTGTTAAAAACATCATAAAAACACAACTATAAGAAATTCAGAGTTCTCAGCTCCAACTGATTGTAGGTGTATTGTTTAGAAATTGACTTACAAAATCCCTCAATTCACAATGACTGGCAAGACTTTTACTATACGAAGTTTAACTATTTAACTATGTCAAAATTATTAAACTCTTCTTATACTTTTAAATAAGCAAATCATATAAACATTAGATCACCAAAGGTGAATGTGACAATAATTCATTACACATTACAAATGGTTGGAATTAAATATAATAAAGAAATTTTTTTTTCATTTCAGTAACACTTGTAGATTAAATTTCCCATATATAATTTAACTCTTTCACATTATTAAATATTCCGGAACTTCTAGTCATATTTTCAAACAGTATGCAATACTATGACATACCCGGAAAAAAACTGCATTTTTAATGGGAATATAAATACAAAATTATCACTGTTCTTGAATGGGTACCCATTGAGTTTAATTTATATAGTAAATAACTTCAATTTATAAGTCTTTGGGCAAAGAAGGCATTTTAATAATACAAAAGAAAACAGGTTATCATGATACACCAAGCAAAGCCTGGTTAATATCTCATATTTTATTTAAAAAAAAAAGATGAACATGATTTTATTACATATTTATATATTTGCCAGAATTATTGAACATTATGTCCATATGGTAAATGTGAATATTAAAACTTTACCACTTGTAATACAACCTAATGACTACTTGGTAGACAAGTATACATCTTCTAAATTTGTAACATAATCCCCGCATATAGAAGGAAATTAGAAATATTTTGTGAACATCAGATTACTCAAACGTGTTAAGTGGAATCTTGTGTACTGCTCAATCACATTAGTTTTGTTATAGCAGGTTTTGTAAAGACTCAGTAACACATGTAAGTATAATTTAAGTTAAAGATTTTTCATTATAAAGTAAATCACGGCACTTCAAGTACTTATTAAAACATCATACACTCCCTAAAGGTATGCACTATTTAGGGGGGGGGGCACCTTGCCCATCCACTTTAAATTCTGCACTCCCCCTCCCAGTTTCTGATTTGCAATTGATATAAAAATCCTTACTTGACAGTAACTTTGTATGTCTCAGTACCTGTTAATTGCATTCATTGTAAAGGGCCTGGTCACTGCACGATTGTATTAATTTCAAATAGCCCAGACATAAAAGGTTTTTAATGCCTTAAAAATAATACCTATACTTAAAATAACTAACAATTAATGTACAGGGATGAGTAATAGTAGTGAATATGAGTTAATTAATTTTGGTTACCTTTTCCAAAATCTGCCCACCCACTCCTAAATAAGTGGGTGTCTCCCCATAGTATACATACTGCCGCTGGGACTGCAATTGCACACACACACACACACAAATCCTTAAGCCTAGAAACATTTCTTTAAAAACACTAACAAATCTTGAGCTATATATAATTATCATATCCTTCCTCATTGGCACAGCTAACTCAGAGAAATGTACATATTAGGTTCATTTTTTTTACCATTGTAATCACAATAAAACAGCTTAACTTAACCCCCTAACTAGCAAGCCCAGAAAATACATGTAGTGGTGCAACTAGTGTCCAAAAAACTGTCAGTTAAGAGATTAAACTAAATTGATTACTTAGGTCAGAGAATGCTCTTCCCCAAGTATGAAAATGGACATTATTTACATTAGAATTCAAAACATGTATATCTGTTAACAATACCAAACATATCTAGCACACTAAAAAAAAAATCTTTTAATTTGGTTGACAACAATTATTAAACACATGCACTTTGAATTCTACTTTATAAGGTGAATTGACTGCTACACAAATAAAAGCAGAACCTCTGGTGAGAAATGCTGTTTGGCACTAGTGCAAAATTTCCACAGCATATTACACAAAACAAAAGATTTAGTTTTCAACTGAAGCATTAATATGAAAAAAATAATTCTAACCCCCTTGGAATATGCTGATTTACACTACTTTTTCATTACTGTCTTTTCTAAAACACTTAAATGAATGATATGCACAACAATATTCAACAATATTTTCAATACGTTTCTTTGAGTATCCCTTTGAGATTCTCTATATTCACAGTGTTACGTACTGTAACGTGACCATGCAAAACAAATATTTGTTTTTACTTTGTACATTAAAGTAATTGATAATACTGATTTTTAATTTTGCATTTTGGGAATGAAATCAAGATGAATATGAATTTAGGCACATAACACATGGTAACATAACAACCAAATTATAGGGACTCAAAAATTTTAAACATTTAAATAAAAGTTGGATAAAGAAACTTAAAAATTACCAACAAATGCATTAGATCACACATGTGGTTTATAACAGTTTAGCAATTGTGTATTTATGTTCTCAAATAAGTTGCAAGAATTACATATAAGTAATTCGACTTTATAACCCTTGAGTAGAAAACTTTATTTTTCTTTATAAGATAACTACTACTAATTAAATTATACTTATTTAATTGTTTCATTATAGATGATTTAAGAATATTTTTACAAAAATCTTCAACAGATTTTTGGCTGAAACTAAATGACAGTATATGATAAATGCCTCTGTAAATAATATTTCTTTCTGCATCCAAAATTCATTTCTTGAATCACAGTTCCATTTTTCAAAACCGTTTATATTAGGATTATTAAAATTTTATAATCAAGGCTCTTTATACTAATTTCTTAAAATAAGGTATGTAAGTTTATCTTATATAAGGATTGTAAAAATAGTCAAACATAATAATAACATTAAAGGCATTTTTTTAAAGAATAAGTACAAGAAAGTGTATATTGTTATGACAGTGGAAGTCACTCGATGCTGGGAGCATGCACTCTGGAGTTTCTCGAAGGATCATGAATTTGCCCACCAGCTCGAGTGTGATCTAGATGCCCTCTTTTTTAGTATATATAAGCCTGGCAAAGAAAGCAAGCGGCAGATAGATAACTGAGTCAAGCGAACAGTAGGCACCGTAAGTAAAGTGTTTGAATCACTGTAATTTATAGCATATAGTTAGTTTAGAGTGACGAGGTACGTACTCATTGTGAAATTACGGTGTATTAAAAGTTTGTATCGAGGAAGAATAAACTGGGTTAATCAAGAAAGGACTTGTATCGCTGAAGTTTCTCAGAAAGAATTTACACCGGAAATTAACAAACAAGCAGGTATGCAACAATATTTAAAGTTTCAACAGAAATATTTTCATATTTTTTAACATTAATTATTGGCACATTTTACAACATAGTGTGATACATAATGTAACAATTTAAGAGGGAAAAAAATTTTAAAATATGAAAGTTAAAATCTCAAGAAAAAAAAAAGTACTGTAATTCCAGTTATCAATGACTTTTAAAGTTTGATTTTTTCTGTTTTAGTTTTCAAAACAAACACAAATAAAAGCATAAAGAAATGTTCTTAATGTGCCAGCTTATACTAGAAAACCCATGCTTTACAAGTGACACTAAGAAGAAGGTACTTTCCTCATCAGCACGTCACCTTAACATTGGTCTGTTATTAATTTAGTCCGGAAATGTCAATGCACCAGTCATATACGAGTTAGATAAATAAACTACACTACAAAAGATGGAGAAAACAAGAGCTTCAAATGAAATGTATAAATTATAACATATGTAAAACAAAATACTTTCTTACTGTAAAATACAAGGTGATTAAGAAGCCACAAACAATAAGAACAGTGAAGATGTGATTAATTACCAAAACTATTTTCCAAAATTTTACAAACTTTTAAGTTACATTCACCTCAAACACATGAACAACATGGTCTTTTTTTGTTAATTGTTAGAAATCAGTTCTTTGTTGTATGTTAATTGGTTGCAAGGATAATGAAGTTATCAGTCTCCAAAAGTTAGTTGTAACTTTAAAAAATTACAATTTATTTTATAGTTTTGGCAAAACTCAAACACTTATATATAGTTATCCAAAACCCACCATAAAGAAGGAATGACTTTTCAGTATATTGGGTCTAGCGGACACTAAACACAGCCCCAACAACTACTTGGAATGCACAAAACAGTTGTCCACTTTTAAAATCATAGCCATTCTAAGCATATATATATGTACAGACACATATGCATACAATAAACATTTTCTCTAAGATTCAAAGATCACAAGATGTCAAAACTTATCACTGGTCCAACACACACTATAACCATGCATAATATGGTTAGAAAATACACAGTATCAAAACTTTAGGTGCAAATTAGTGGGTAATCCACACAAGTCTGGCTAGGATGTATCTTAAAGTCAATATGCTAGTTTCAGACCGAGGGAGATCTACTGTAGATCACATCATTTGGATGAGCTTGACACTTCTGAGAAATAAAAATAAATAGAACTATTACCTCAATACAGAAAGAACAGTAATTATAACAAATAATTCTGTGATGACTGTGCTGTTATTGTTTCTCTATATATGTAGCTACAATAACAACAAATAAAAAATGTAGAAAATTCACCTTTTAACTGTTACATATTTTATAATGCTTCTGTATTTCTAAGATGATACCTTAACTTAATTTTGGAAAAAATTGTTTACAATTTGTTTTTTTTTGGTTTGAAGTCAAACACAAAGCTACACAATAGGCTATCTGTGCTCTGTCTACCTAGGGTATTGAAACCCAGTTTCTAGCATTATAAGTCTGCAGACTTACCATTGTGCCACTGGGGGGCAACTGTTTAAAATCAAAAATAGTTCAATAAGGAAAATCTGCTGAAATTTTACCCATTAAGACTTTTTTCAATATTACCTAATCCATTTTTGTAAGAATAATCTTTAAAAAAAAGTTGATTAATACCTCTGACTCAAACACCATTCAATGTAATCTAAAAAATTTAGCTTATACATGAGATTTGCACTTACATCCTGACACTTTTTCTGAAAAATGTCACATGTTATAACAATCCAAAACATTCACAAAGGTAGATGTCTGGTTATAAATATCTAATAACCATTAATGTTATTGGTGTTATTTATCACTGGCATTCTACAATACTCAACAACAATACACTTGAATCTGTTAAATATTCTATATAATTTCAAGGCTAAACACTATACTCTACAACATTACACTTGAATCTGTTAAAGATTCTATATGATTTCAAGGCTAAACACAATACTCTACAACATTACGCTTGAATCTGTTAAAGATTCTATATGATTTCAAGGCAACACTATTGGAAAAACTACTAAAATTCATATATTATTTTGCTCTTTAAAAAAATTATTGTTGCAACTGATAATATACATACATTTTGCTTGTGCTGCCAGGTATTCATAGCCAACTTGTACTTTTCAAATTCTCGACACCAGTTAGAGTAGATCTGCTTATAGTCCAGCTCAGTAGGAGGAGTGCAAGTTTCTGTAGTTTAAGGAACATACATTTTAAACACAGATTCTTATAACACAAAAATCCTTACAGACTAACTTATTATCAGAAAATGATTTCTGTGAAAATTGTATTTCTTTCTAATTCCTTCTGATTTGTGGAAGCAAACTTTAGACAAAAGAACTTTTAATACTGCAGTATCAGCAAAAAATAATAATAATAATAATAACATATACATATTTGAAGACCAATTCCATAAAACTGTGTATTCAGGTGTGCCATGAAAATCATTTTATGCAATTTTATGTTTTGTATTGTGGAACATCACAATAGTATTTTTTTTCTGTATAATAGTGAATACTTACTTGAATCTACTGTAACATTGTAGCTACAAAGAGTGTGGGGTCCAAATTTACATTCATAACGTCCATTATCCCGATGAGTTACAGACATGATTACCAACCCTTTGTCAGATGTGATGATGTATTTATCCTGCTGCTGGTTCAACAAGACCTTGCCTTTGTCTCGACTGTAGAGCACCCACTCAATGGAACCAAAATCTAACGTCTTCATTTCTTCCACATGCACGGCACATGCAAGATGTACACTCTGACCCCAGTAAACATTAAGTATTTTTTTCTTTTCACCTACAAATTGTATAAAACAGTACAGTAATTGATAAGTTGTTTTTGACAACTTAGACTTTACTGTTTCTTGGTCAATAGTAAAATACAAACAGAAATTTTGTTTACTACTTTGAAATACCCTTTTCTTCTCTCTCTCTCTTTCTTTTTTTAAGTAGCAAGCTGCACTAAGTAAGGTCGTATTACTTCGTTAGGTTACCTACTACCTAACTACGAAGGAAAGTACAAACTAACCC